TCTTGCCTGCGCCTGGCGGCCCTGCCATTCCAGCTCTTGCAACCCTGTGCGCCCCGCGACCGGGCCGATCCAGCCATGCTGTCTCAGTGCGCACTCGCCATCCCCTTTGCAATCACCTTTCTTGCAATATACCCAGCTTACGTCTTTGCGGCCATGACCGTAGCAGGCTACGTTGTCCGGACTCTGCTGGCCGTGGTCGGGAGCCTCGACGTCGTGATGGGCGCCCTTGCGCTGTACTTCATACAGGCGGCTGTCCCCATTCTGCGTGCGCCAGCCGGGCCCGGGAGCCGGGGCCGCCGCCATCACATTGCCGATGCGGGCGCAACCACGCGTGCGTGTGCCGCCGGGCGTTCGGCGATGGGCGGGCCGGCCGGACAGCGGCGGGCCTGCCCCATGTGGGACGACGACACATTCCACGCCCACTACACACTGGCGCTTGGCTTTGCTGGCGGCAGCCCCGACGCCGCCCAGGCCATCCTCGACCGGCTGTATGCTTGTGCAGTCAATGAGGCGCTTGCGCTCGAGGCGTCCCTGGCTGGGCAAGCCGTCGGCGGGCAGCAGGAGCGCGGGCATCTGGACCGCATCTACACGCGGGTCCGATTCCCTGTCCCGAGCGACATGGCTCCGGCGAATAGCGACATGGCATCGGCAGATGGCGACACGCCGTTCTAGTGCTCGGGCCCGCCGACCTGCAATGCCAGTGCCACTCGTCGGTCAGCCCGCGGCTGCCGACCACCATCAGCTCACAACAAGAATACTGGCTCACAATAGTCACCCTAGCTTACAAAGTTCAAGGATGCGACAACGGAGGATCTAGGCACTATACGGGCATGATGGTGGGGCTTCCGGGGGCGCCGGCGGTGTGCTCAGCAAAGCGGGGCCCGGCCGGCGACACAATGCGCAAAGCCTGACCGAAGCGCTCGGCAAGCGCATCGCCGGGGTCCACCAGGCCCAAATCGGCGCGCTGCCGGGCCTCAAGCAGTGCGCGGTCGCGTGCTGCCAGATGCGATGCCTCGGCCAGCTCGTGCGCGCGGTTCTCCCGCCGGCGCTTGCGCTCGCGCTCAAACACGCGCACCATGGCGTTGTGGCTGGACACCATGTCGGCGACGCTGCCGCGCAGCTTCTCGTTGGCCTCGCGGTAGTAGCTGTTGTCGATTACCACCGCCTGCAATGACTCTTGGAGCTGCTCGCACCGCCCACACGCGTATTCCTGCGCGCCGTCCTCCATCCCCGGCACTGCCCGCTGCGCAGACACCGCCCGCGCAGTCGGCCGGCCGGACGGGCGGATCAGCCCGGCAAACAGCATCGTGCTGCGCCGACGGCCCGCGCGTTCATCCTGCGCTGCCAGCCTGCGCTGCCGGGGCGTGAACAGGCGCGGCGACGACGGCGAGCGGGCCCCACTAGCGCCGTGCTCCGAGTGCGCGCTGTCGCGCAGATACTCGTCCAGGATGTGCAGGTCGCGGCGGGTCGACTCGCCAGCGCCGGCCCGCGGGCCATCTATCTGGTAGGAAGCGCGCACAGCGCCAATGGCCGCGGCCATTCGCGCGTAGTTGTCGCGCCAGTGGCCGTCGAGCCCGGCCACGTCTGCCGTTGCTGCGCCGTCGCTGCTGGTGCTGCTGTGCCGGCCGGCCAGCTCAGCGGCCCCGCCCTGCGACATTCGCGGCGATGCCGCCAGGCTCCCGCAGCACGAACCGCGCGGCACTGCCTGTGCCTTTACGACCGTTTCGAGCGCAGCGTATTTCTTGGCCAGTGCTGCGTTCTTCGCCCGCTGCTCGTCGAGTTCGCGCTCAATGCGTGCGGCCCTCTGCTGTGCGTCGCTCGCCTCCGTCCGCGCCTGGACGAGCTCGTCACCGATAGACTCGGTGGCTGTGGCCATTGCCCGTATCTCCTTTATCAGCTGGTTGTTTGTCTCCCGCTCCAGCGCCAGCAGCCGCGACTTTTCCTGGCACTCTGCAAGCATCAGCAGCCCGGGCTTCATGGGCACGTCGTCGTAATCAACGGGCGCAGCAAGGCGCGGTATGTACGACACCCGCGGCCCGCTGTCGCCAATGCTGCCGGGCGAAGGTAGCGGCCGCCGCGCCCCGGGCCTTGCCGCCGCGGGACTGACCGCGTGCGTCGCCCTGCCTACGCTCCCGCTTGTGAATCCGGCCCTTGGCACCAGCGACGCCGCCCGCGCGCCGCGCACGGTGTTTGCTTTTGGTGCCACACGACTGGAGGGCGCCGAGCCCTGCGGCCGCGACGCGAGCAGCGCCCGGGGCTGCATCGGAGGTGTCTCCAGCTCCGGCATCGGCGCCCGCTGACTGGCAGCCCCGCCGAGGTCGCTGGCACTTGGTGTCGTGCGCAACCTTCGCGCAGGCGGCAGGCTGAAGGCGGCGGCGCCGGCGGGCTCTGACTGCTGCTTGCCGATGGCGCCGATGCGCGGGGCCACGCGTCGCACGGTGCTGGCAGCCGTGGTCTGCGCAGGCTGCTGTGCCAGCTCGCCGGAGCGACGACGTCTCAGTCCGTGCAGCTCCGCGGCTGCTGCGTCCCCCCGCGCCGCCTGGACAGCGCCATCGCCTCTCGGGCCGGTGCCCTGCGCCTGAAGCGCGTATCTGCGGGCGCGTATGGCTGCGATGGGTCGCACGTCAGTTGCTGGCGACGTGACGCGGAGACTGTCGCTGGGCGCGGCCGGCTGCGTCCGCGAGACCGACCGCTTGGCCGGCGCAACGCGGCCCGCGCGCGCCCCGGCGGCAGCGGATGGCATGCTTCCAGCTGCGCTGGCCCTGGAGGCAGACATGGGCCCAATTGCAGAAGGCTCAGCGAGACCGAGTCGTCGTAGAATAAATGGCTTGGATAATGCAAAGTGTGCAGGAGAGAAGCGAGAGCTGGATACAAGAAACGGCGGGGGGTGTCTCTCCCACGCGGCGGGCACAGTCGCGGCTGCCCGGTCTTGAAATTACAAAGGGCTGCAGCGAGTGGAGGCAAGGACCAGCGAGCGGACCGCCGCCGCAGGCGTCTGTCTGCCCACGAAGAATGCCAGGCGCGGCCAGCCGGCTCTGTCGCCGCCTGCCCCGGCCCAGCTCACCAGCCCAGCTCACCAGCCCAGCTCAGCTAACAATGCGCCGAGCCGGCTGCCCTTGATCGCGGGCTGCGACTCAGGCACGGAGATACGCGGGCATTAGCACGAACAGCCCCAGATACCACGCCAGCAGCAGCGCCAGCGCTCCAAACACCCTATGTGCGTCGCACCGAAACACGCAAGGCACACATCAGCCTGGTTAGTGTGTGCACGCCCATTGCGCGCCAGGGAGTACATGCACAGGTTGCACAAGTCGTGCGGCGGCACGCTGGACGACAGGCGTCCAGGAGCAGATACCAACCATGGCCTGACCCTGTCCCACGAGACCCCGGCGCGACTCCGCTTCCACTCGCGCACGCACGTCAGCGGCCGCCTCTCCACGTCCGCCCGCCCGGTGGCGGAGACTATCTGGTGCGTAAAGCCATCGACAACCACCAGTCTTGGCAGCTCCATTGCCGAGATCCCCAGGCCGCTCATCAGGTCTTGCCGCAGCCTGTGCTCGCCCCACGGAACACACAGCCACCCGGTGCCTGCCATCGTCCTGGCCATGTCCGCCGGGTGGTTGTCGGCCGACACGTGGACCACCACCAGATCGTCGCCGTGAGCAGACGACACGCTCAACAAAAGCGGCCCAAACTCGTCGCACTCGGCGCTCCAGGCAGCCGCAAAATACAGACCGATCAGCTTTGTCTCAAGCGCCACCTGGGACGCCTGTGCTGGGCGCTGGTGCTCGTCCTCCAGCACATGCAGCGCCGACATCACCGCTCCCCCGCTCAGGAGCATCCGGTAGCTCCGCGACCGGCTGGCGTCCACGCTCAGCCGGATCGTCAGGTCCATGGTCGACGAGCGTCGCCGCTGGCTGTTACTGGGCCGGAACGCCGGCGCTGCCGAGTTGAACCGCGGCCGGGCGGCAATAGGCAGCGTGGGCGACGTGGCCGTCAGCGGCAAAACAGTGTGGTGTGAGCTCTGGCTCAGCCGGTGGCTCAGGCTGGGTCGCGGCGACCGGCTGATTGCGATGCTGCAGCTAATGGCGCTCGCGCTGTGTGCACCTCGCGCATGCGTGCCCGGCCCGGACGCGAATGGACACGGGTCGCTGCCGACAAGCGTCCGCGCAGAGCTGCTCGCGTGGCTATGCCCAAAGCTCTCGTCTCCTGCGTGCCGCACCGCCGCAGGCGGCCGCCTGCTGAGCCGCCCAAAGATCGGCCTCGCCATCGCGCTGCCAGAGTCCTCGGCGGCAGGAGGCAATGCGCCGCTACGCCCAGCCGACATCGCCCGGCGCTTGGGCAGCCGAAGCCGCTGTGCGCCCGGCTGCACGTCGGCAGCGCCACGAGCCGGCTGGTGCTTTGCGCTGTGGCTGCCGTACGGTCCGCCTTTTTCGCCCCCCGGCGATGTTGGCGACGGCGGCAGGAGGGGCGCCCGCAGCTGCGCGCCCGGCGACAGGCCCTCCGCCTCCGACGCGGTGGCTGAGACAGGCACGCGCGCCATGGCTGGCCTGGCGGGATAGTGCGCCCTGTGGCGGCCAGACAATAGGCGGCGGGAGGGTGGTAAGGGAGGTGAAATGGAGGGTGATGCAGATGGGAGTGAGAGCAGACAGGCGGGCAGTGGAGAGAGCACAGAGAGAAGAAGGGCAGGGCAGGGCCCGCAGTAGCGGAAGGCACGAGCAGTAATGTGCGCCTTCCAAGGATACGCCGCGCGTTGGGCGCCGGCATGCAAGCGTGTGCAGCCGCAAAGGCGCGCCGCGCGAGTCCGATGTGATCTACCCTCTGCATGTGCTCCGGGGATCGCCAGCGGTAGACCAGGGCCATGCGTCCCGATTGAGCCGGGTGCGTTAGCGAGCGCCTTGCCAGCGCCGTGCGCTGGTGCACAGGGCGGTGGCACGCCCCGCCGCCGCCAAAAGAGAGAAGTCTGGCGTGGCCTGCACGGTTACCGCTTCGCAAAAAAGTTCCGTAACGGGGAATTGAACCCCGGCCGTTCCGGTGAAAGCGGAAAATCCTAACCACTGGACCATTACGGAGAGAGAGGCGCACACAAGACGCAATCCTTCATCTGCTTGGCTGCTTCCGCCGTGCACACAAGGGCCGCAAACTTTCCTTTTCGCCAAAGGCGCCGCGCGACTTGCACATAAAAGAAGAGGCGGCAAGGCGCAACCCGGAGGGGCGACAGCCCGCAAAAGTATTCCGTAACGGGGAATCGAACCCCGGCCAATCCGGCGAAAACGGATTATCCTAACCACTGGACCACTACAGAGAGATGGGCACACATGAGATGCCAACCATTGCTGGACAACACCCTCCAGCCATGCACATATAATCCACATTTTTCCATCTCCACAAAGGGCGTCACGTGGCTTTGGAATGAGCTGAGTGATGACAAATGCTGGTGTATTTGTGCCCTGAATGGGCACAGCTGAGTAATGGGTGGATATGCAATAAAGGTATAAGTCAGGCTATTCCAAC